TGGTGAGGCTGGCGATGCTGGCAAATGCTGGCTGTTTGCCTGTTAGCGAAAGCTTGCTGTGGCTGCGCTTGGAGTGGAGGATATGGCATTGTAGGAGGCCAGAGGCTTCCCATGTGGAGAAACAAGACCCAGGCCAGGGCAGAAGTTGAGGGGGTGGTGAGGAAAGGGCCTGGGGGGATGTTGGAAGCGTGGGGTGAGTGGTGTGACTGGCAAGGAGGGGATGGTGAGCTGGGCCTGCAGGACCTAAGTCACAACCCTGGAGACTGCCAGGAGCCATTGCTGTCTATCAAGAGGCAGATTGGGGGGCCTTGGCCAGCCTGGTCACTGAAGCGGGGTGGGGGGCGTGGGGGGTGAAGAAATGGCCCCAGGAGAATGTGCAGAGGAAAGAGAAGAGAGCCCCGGATGTTATGAACAATAGGTACCCTCTGTCCCCACAATCATCTGGCCTCCTATGGAAATCAAGTAAAGAGCTGTTGGCCCATTTTACAGAAACCATAACTCAGGGAAGAGCCCTGAGTGCAGTAGGTGGCTGAGGTAAGATGAGTACAGGCCTCTTTCTACTGATCAGCCACTTCTTCCTGGGAAGATGGCGGGCGGGGAGATGTGGTGACCCTGCTAACAGGGGCCCTAATTGGGGAGTCACAGGCACTGTACGTGAGGGAGACCTGGCCCCTTGGAGGGCTGTGAATGTAGGGGTACCTTTGTGAGCACACACTCCTGCAGAAGTGGAGTTGAGCAAGTCTCTTCCGTGCCCACAGCACCCCTCCATCCCCCCACCCCCACCCCACACACAACCCAGTGGCAGTTGAACCAGGTGCGGCAATATCCCCCTCTCAGTCTGTCCCCCAAACCTGGACTTGAAAACCCCTGGCAGCTCCCCGTTGAGCTTCCCATTGTCCATGTGCCTCCTTAGGGAGCCACCAAAACAGGCTGCCCCAGACAGTGCCCGAGTCTGTGACCTCTGTCCTGAAGTTACCATTAGGTGGAGGGTGGGTAGGGTAGGGCATTAGGTAAAGTCCCAGAAGGGGAAGTGGTGGGTGAGCCTGAAGACCAAAGAGGGAAGCCATCCTGGCCCTCCCTTCTGGGTGTTAAGTGCCCACAGCCTTGCTTTACTCCAACCCTCCCACCCCCAAGCTGCTCTTAATATTGGCTCCTGGCTACTGTTGTCCGGTGGTTACTGGAGTCAACAAACCTTCCCCGTAAACCTTCCCTCTGCCTTGGTCAGGCGGTAAGCATGTCAGGCTTGGCCTGTTGGTGTCCGTACAATTGTAACAGGGTGGTCCCTAGGAAAAGAGAAAGTACCAGGTTCCCTGCCCCACCCAGAAGGAGGGTGGAGCTGAGCAGAGAAAAAGGAGAGAAGAGAAGGGAGAAGAGAATGAAGCTGGATGGAGAACGAGGAGGAGCCCTGAGGAAGCCACATGGAGCAGCAAGCATGTGATGAAGAAACTGTGCTTGTTTCCTGACCCTGGACTGGTTAAGGCAGATGTGGGTGAGATACCTGTAGGGAGGTGACTATGGCAGTATTTATATTGATTTTGATTTTGCTCTTTTCCTCCCAGATTTGTCTGGCCATTTCTGACCCTTTCCCATGGGTCCCGGCCAGAAGGTGCTTTAGTCTTGTGGCAGCTTTCAGGCCTTGCTTTGGGCCAATTCCTTTGGGGTTGACTTTTGCCCATGAGGGGATGGGTCACTTCAGGTGTTTGATTTAGAAAATATATTCTTTGTCTGCTGTGTTGTATGCTCACTGTATTAAAGTCCCTTTTCATTAAAGTTTTATATGTTTTGTCTTGTTGCGGCGGATGGCAGAACCCACTTAGAGCAGGCAGGTTTGGGGCTTCAGGGGTGCCCCTCTCTCCCCCTGTCCTCTAACAGAATTGGGGTGCCCTATAACACAACTATTCAACATACAGTTACAGCAGCCACGGTAAGAAATAAACAAACAAGCAGGGCTGAATCTGTAACAGGGCAGGGAGAGGGGCACCCTTGAACCCCCAAACCTGCCTGCTCTAAATGGGTTCTGCCATCCAGCGCATCAAGAGAAAACATGTCAGACTTTAATGGAAAGGAACTTTAATACAGTGAGCATCAATACATAAGACAAAGAATATGATTTCTAAATCAAAGACCTGAAGTTGCCCATCCCCTCGTGGGCAAAAGTCAACCCAAACGGGATTGGTCCACAGCAAGGCCTGAAAGCCCGACACAAGCCTAAAGCACCTTCTGACTGGGACCTATAGCAAAGGGTCAGAAAAGGCCAAACAAGCTGGGAGGAAAATAGCACAATCAAAATCAGTATAAACACTGCCATAGTCACCCCCCCTCGGGGCTCTCACCCACATCTTTTTCACCCAGTCCACGACCAGAAGCAATCAAAGTTTCTTCGCATGTTTCTCTGTTCCACATGGCTTCCTCAGGTCTCCTTCCCCATCCTGCTTCCTTCTTCTTCAGATTCCTTCTCTTCTTTGCTCAGCTCCATCCTCCTGGGTGGGGAAGGGAACCTGGGACTTCCCCTGTTACAATTCCTATACAACTATGGAGGCTGAAATTGGACTCGTCTAATTTTCATGTGTTGCCACATAGTCTTGCTTTGTTTTTCCCCGCAACCATTAAAACATGTAAAAATTATTCTTAGCCTGCAGATTGTTCAAAAATAGGTGGCAAGGTTGAATCTGGCCCCTGTGTGCAGATCCCAGCCCCACCTCCACCCCGCAAGACAGAGCAAGGTCCTTGGAGCAAGTGTGCCTGAAGGCGACATCTGTCTTGCTGTGTGATCTTCAGCAAATGGCTAACTCTGTCGCTGCATCAGACTTCTCACCTGTAAAATAGGGGTGATAATGGTAATACTTTGGGACTGTAAGTTGGTACAGCTGCTTCGGAAAATGACTTTTGGCAGTTCTTCAGAAAGTTAAACATAGCGCTAACTCGTGATGCAGCAAGTTCATCCCAAAATATGGACACAAGAGAAATGAACACTTCACGTTCACACAGAAACTTGCTCACAGCAGCGTTTTCACAACAACCAAAATGCTACAGCCCAGATGTCCCTCACCTGATGAATGGGTCAATGGTCTGTGCACACAGGTGTGCGTTATTGAGCCATAAAAGGCAATGAGATCTTGATTCATGCCATACCAGGGGTAAAGCTGGAAACATGCAGTGAAAGCCGTAAGGACAGATCTTGTGCCCAGACGGTCCACCTGGGTCTCTGCAGGTGTCTCTTTTCATAAACCTTTCCCCTTTGCAGCCCACTTGTGCTGCGCAAGCATCCGTTTTTCCTTTCCTTTTTAATACAATGAGCCTACCCTTTGCCGGGGGTGGGGGGAGCCAGAAAGGCCATATTTTATGACCCCATATGCAAGGTCAAGAATGGGTAAATCCTTGTTGATAGAAAGTAGATTAGTGGTTGCCAGGGCCTGGAGTGGATTTGGGGGTGAAGTGGGGGTGGAATCTACTAGGGGGCAAGTTTGGCCGCTAAAGGACAAGGCACTTTTCCTTGGGATGATGAAGATGCTTTAGCATTAGATGATGATGATGGTTCTACAACTTTATGATCATACTGACCAATTTAATACACTAGATACTGAATTGTGTACTTTAAACCACTGCATTTTATGGTATGTTAATTATATTGCAAGTAAAATTAGTGCTAATACTTAGCTCACAGGGTCGCTGATGGAGGTAGAGCATGCACAGGGCTTGGAACAGGGTCAGGTGCAGTGAGCCTGGTCTGTCCCTCCTGCGTCCTCAGGAGCCCTGGGAGGCTCTGAGTCTGTCCTTACATTGTCTCCAAGGGCCTAGGACAGGGCCGGTACAGAAAACGGAGCTTTGACATTTGAAAGTCTTACAGGCCAGGAGTTGAGTTATGGTTGTTTAGTTGATTCCTTGGACAAATCCTTTGAGGCTCTTAGCCCCAGGCTCCGCATCTGTAAAATGGGAGAGTAACAACAATGGCGTGAAGGCTCAGCTAATGCCCGACATCAGGGTATGTGAGGTGCCCAAAGCCCATACCCACCTGGCCACACTTGGCCTATGCTGGCTTCCAGTGACTTCCCAGGTATCAGGCATCTCCCAGGTAACAGGCAAGCCTGGGGCACTTGCTTCTGCCGGCAGGCACTCTGCCCACAAGACAGCTCCTGTTGTTCCACCAGACCCATGCTGGCACCTCCCTGAGCCTGAAGGGTTAAACACTCTGGGGCACTAAAGTGGATTCCCAGATTGACCACATCCAGAAATGTGACCGCAACAAAGCCCGCCTCTTTCCCTTTCTGAGCCTCAGTTTGTCCAGCTGTCAAATGGGTTTAGGACACAGTCCCTACCACTCTGGGTGCTTGTGATGTTTCAGTGGAGCAACAGATGTAAGCGTTCACACCTTGCTGGGGTGAGCTTACATTTTGAGTGTTTAATGCATGCAACTTTTTGGATGATTTATTGTGAAAGTCTGCTATGGGCTAAGCACTGGTTCAGTTAGTGGAGATACAGAGAATAAAACAGACAAAAGCAAAACTTACTTTATAGTGGGGTAGGCAGAGAAGAGGTGAAAAAGTAAATTATATTTGAGAACATGATAACAGAAAATAAAACTGAGGAGGGCTAAAGGGGGTGGGGGAAGGGACTGCAATTTTATAAAAGCGATTTCAAAGTCTGGTTGAGAAAAGGCACTTGGAGACCAGAGGAAGAGAGAGAAGGTGGGAACCCCGTGGGGTTCTGAGGGGAGAGTGTTCCAGGCCGAGGAAGTGGTGGTGTGCTGGTGGGCATGACTGCAGGGGATGACGCATGGGACGGTGGCAGGGAACAGCCCTGGGGGGCTGCCAGGGATGACTCTGACTCCTGCAGAGACAGGGGTCCTGGCAGGGCACTGGCGGAGGCTGAGAGTCCTGCCATGTGGAGCTCCAGACCCCATCAGCCCCGCTAGCGAAGGGGCGCTTGCACCCTGCTGAGCCGTGATGACTTCTGCTGTGACGGGGTTGACCTGCCTGATCGTCCTCTGTTTCCTCCCGCAGGACCAGCAAGGGGCCTCCATGGGCGCCTGAGGGCCAGGCGCCAGGGCAGCGGGCACGAGCATGGTGAGACACCAGCCCCTGCAGTACTACGAGCCGCAGCTCTGCCTGTCCTGCCTCACGGGCATCTACGGCTGCCGCTGGAAACGCTACCAGCGCTCCCACGACGACACCACACCGGTGAGCACACCGGGAGGAGGTCCCGGGGAGCCTGGGGGGCCTAGGACCTCGGGGGAGCAACCGGGACATCAGTTATCCTGTGGGTGTCAGTTTCTCCTTCTGTGAAATGGTCCCCTAGTAAGCCCTGAGTCCACCTGCTGAGGTGGGCGGGGCTGCCTGTCATGGATGGAAGTGGTCATTATGACCCCTGTGATGGGTGGGGCTGAGCCCTGTGGTAGGACGGGTGTTTCAGGGGGAAGGGTTTACCCCAAGGAGAGCAGGGGTTCTCAGCTTCCTGGCGGAGCAGGATGGGCAGGCAGGCAGGGGGTGGCTGGTGGGGAGGGTAGGAAGGTGCTCCTGAGGGCTGGCGGGGCCGTGTCCTGGCACTGGGACCTGGTCACCTGAACCACGGGCCTGCCAGGGCCGGCAGTGGGTGCTCCGGGGGATAAAGAAAGCTCCTTCAGTGCCCTGCTCCCTGGCACTATCCCTGAGGCACTATCAGCCTGCGGATCTAGTTTCTTCTCTGAAGGAATCCAATCCTTCAGGAGGGAACAGCAGGAGATAAATGGTATTTATGAATAGCTTTGCTTCTGGAAAACAACAACTTACCTCCTCCTTCCTGCTTGCCCGAACAAAGAAGCCAGCCTCCAGCCACCCTCGGTGGGTCCCAGACAGGCTAGAGTGGCCGCAGGCGAGAGTGGCTCAGGTCAGAGGCCAGTGTCGCTGGCGGCTTGGGTGGGGAGGGCAGGGAGCTGACCTGCAGCCCGCTTGTTCCTTCTCTGCCAGTGCTAGTGAGGGGGCAGAGTGCTAGACTGAGTCAGGAGCTCCGGTTTGTGACCCCCAAAAGGTGAGAAGCAGGGATCACCGGGTGGGCGCCAGTCCCTCTCATTGCCCTGACCGCACATCCAGCATGGAGGCGGCCATATGCCGGGCTGAGGTGAGGGAGGGACAGGGGCCTGCCCAGGGTCACGGAGCAGGCCCCTGGCAGCCCCGTCTCCACGCAGGCCTCTCCAGGGAACCCTGTTTCAGGCCGTGCCCTCTTACGTAGAACTAAGACTCTCCCACCATGGCGCAGGGCATGCGATCTGGAGTCAGGTGCACTTCAAGTTCAAATTGTGCCTCTTGTACTTGAACCTACTTGAGCTTCCTCACCTGTGAAGTAACACGCTGCTCTCAAGGAGCTGCTGGGCGGATGGCATACACGGACAGCATGAGGGGCCCAGAGCTGTGTTAGCGCTGACGGCCACCTGGACACGTCCCTCTGACGCCGAGCGCCTGCCTCTCCATCTCTGAAATGGAAGAGGAGCTGAGTTAAGACCTCAGACTACCAGAGCCCTCTGCATTGCTCCCAGCAGCACTCTCCCCCCAGAAGCCCGGGGCAGGCAGCCGGGCTTTCCTCTGGTCGAGAAAGAGCTCAACTGTCCACTGGCACCACGTGTCTCGTGCCCGGTGCTGTGCTGTACTGAGCCAGCGTCCCCCAGCAAACCCAAGAGCTTAACGTTGTCACCGCCGTTTGACACAGGGAAGCAGCAGCCAGGACAGAGTGACGGCTCCAGGTGTCACAGCCGTCCAAGGTGCTGGGTAGACAGAAATCTCCTGGTGGGGCTGGGGTGGAGAGTGGATTCAGCGAGCTGAGGGAGAAGGCAGCCTGAGCCCCCAAGCACGAAGCCCCTTGGCCTTCAGAGATGCTGGAGGAAGGCCTGTGTCCCAGAATCTCACACACCTCGCTGGCCCAGAGATGGCCAGCTGTCGGCCATGGCATGAGAAAGGGATGGGTCTCGACTGTGGTCATCGCATGGTTCGGGTGGGCGGAGTGCTGGACCAAGGCCCGTTTTGAGCTGACCAGAGTTAAGAGTAGAGCAGGCTCTGCAAATACCAAGGTCTGGGGTGCCAGGTGGGGCCAGGGGGTCCCAGTCAGCTTGACTGGGAGAGGAGAGAGGCGTTTGCAACAGTTCCGGGTGGCAGGGCCAGCACAAAAGGGCTGAGTTCACCTCAGGCAACTCCAGACTCCCAGCTGGGGGCACGTATCCTCCTCCACCCCCTTGAATCACTCACCCAATTCTGCTCCTGCTCCTCCTACTTCCTGGGTTCCTCAGTTTGCACCTCCTCTCTGGAGCTGTCTCTTCTCTCCCAGGCCCTCCTGAGACAGCAGGGTGCTGTGATGCGGGGGCTGGGCTCAGTGAACGGGACCAGCAGCAGAAGTTCCAGAGATTTCAGCGAGCCAACAGAGGCCCTGGCGTGAGCCCTGGGAGCCGGGTTGGGTAGCATGAGCGGAGGCCCCAGCTGGAGGAAGGGGTCCTACTTTGGACTAGGCTTCTTCTCATCCTCCTTCTCTCCCTGGGCAGTGCCCCCCTCCTCTTTACCCAGGCACTGCCTTCCTTTGGATCCTTGGGGGCGCCACCATGTACTTCTGAACGCAGAGAAGCTTGGGGTCAAGGACCCCTGGAAGCCAGATCTCTTGGGGCCTCATCCGTGGAATGGGTGACAGAGTCACAGAGCAGCACCCCTCATCCTCTGGCTGGAAACAGAGTGTAATAGTTAGCATTTGTTGAGTGCCTACTGTATGCAGGAGAATGTGGCTTACATATTAATTGTTACATTACCCCTGCAGGCACGTTAAATGCACTGTTTACAGTCTGTTTACAGCAACAACTCAGGGAGATAGGGTGTGGAAACTCTGTGTGTGTGTGTGTGTGTGTGTGTGTGTGTGTGTGTGTGTGTGTGTGAGAGAGAGAGAGAGAGAGAGAGAGAGAGAGAACAAGAACTTGAAGGAGGGAGAACAAGGAGACTGAGGTGAGGAGAAAGAGCACTGGGTCCAGGAGCCACTGGAGCAAGGTTGAGAGTATCTTGAGTGTCAGACTAGGATTCTTGTGTCGCCCTGGTGAAGCTCTGGCCTCGCAGGGTGGGAGTGGACCCTGAGAGGTGCAGGGGGGCAGAGAGGGAATGGAGCCCTTTTCTCTGTCCAAGCTGACCACCTTCCTGCCCGCCCTGCCTGACATCTTCCCACCTCCTGCAAGCTCTGCCTCACAAGGTCGCCTCCCGCCAAGACACACTTAACCAATAAGGAAACAGGAAACTGAGGACCTGGCGGAGACAAGGACCTGTTCTCCTGCCCCCAGCTGCGGGACTGAGGAGCCTGGCTCACTGACAGCTAGGAAGGGAAGCAAAGCTTTCTATAACTGGGGTAATTAATTGGTTGTTGTCTGTGACTCATTACTCTAGTACTGCCAACGAGGACTTGGTAGGACAGAAGGCAGTTCGCAGGCCATCCCCACAGGGTCCTCTGAAGACTGTCTGTGGGAGGCGGTCTGCTCAAACCTGGCTCTCACGTAGGCCAGGTGCCCAGAGGAGCTTCCCAGCCCAATAAACTGGAAGAAACAACGACTGTCAACTCTCCTGCACTTTTAGAGTCCGATTTCCCATCTTGAAGAATTTTTTGTGACGTGATGTATTTTAAATTCTGTCTGTTGAGGTCATGTTCAATACAGCCCTGTATGTTTTAGAGGACATAGACTCGGACCGCTCCAACTGTATGTTGTCATCCCACTTCCACCACCACAGCCCTAATAATCCACCAAAAATAGTTGTTTTCTTTATGGTGGAAAATTTATATTTAGAATTAGCCAGCTGGGCTCGGCTTAGAAAATTCCAATTTTGTTGGCAACATCTGAGCGGCGTCCGGAGCCAGTGGAACGTACGCCTTCTTCCCTGCATCAGGTCCCACCAGGGTGTTGACCTTGGCCATGTCAATGTCGTAGAGCTTCGCAGCCTGTTTGGCCTGGTGCTTGTTGGCCTCGACATCCACAGTGGACACAGGCGTGTTGTTGACTTCTGTCTTCTTCATGGCTGACTCGGTGGTCTGCGGAAGGTGATGATGTGTAGTGGTCAAGCTTGTTTCTCCTGGCCGCCCCCACCCCCACCCCCGGCATATTTGGGTTACTTTCAGGTCTGCAGTATCTTGAACACCTGGAAGGCAGGTAATGTGCAAAACTTACGTTTTACGTTTTAAGTGGATGCCCTCAGCTCTGCTTTCTTGGCCATCAAAGGTTTTGCTTTGGCTTCAGTTTTGGGAGGGGCAGGGGCTTCCTTTTTTGCTTTCGGTACCATCTTTCAAAATTGTCCACTTTTGAAGGCCGTTTTAAGTTTGCGTGACCATGTCCATTTTGAAGATGGGGGTCCAGAAAGTGTGTCAAGCAAGCTTCGGAGTTGAAGGCATTGCCACTCTGGCCCCTGCTCGCACCCCCAACCCCTGTGTCCTGACCCTGTTCCACACCACTCTTGTCTGGAATGCACTGGTTACTTGTCCGGTCAGCAAACCTGTGCTGACACCTGCTATGGGCCTGAGGATCACAGGTATATCAGACCTGGAGGGGATTTTGAGGGGAACCCTAGGCTTGAGGGGCAGATAGGAATCCACACACCCAGACCACCTAGGGTGATCAGCAGAGGCCCAGGGAAACCCCAGGCACAAGAACTTGCCTGAGCTGGTGTCTGAAAAGTTATCCCGTGGGGCAGTGTTTAAAGTCAGGGAGTTTCAAGACATAGGAGTGTCTAGTATTTGGGAACGGAAAGCAATTAGGTCCCAATGTGACTGGTGTCAGGGCTGCGGTGGGGGAAGGCAGTCATGTTCCCAGTGGGCCCAAGCCTTGAGGCCATATTGGGGAGCCTGCACTCTGTCCCAGGCAGTGGACAGAGTCCCAGACTCTGCAAGGATCAGAGTAAGTCACAGAGGAAGCTCTGAGGGACCTGAAGTGAGGCTGAGGAGCACAGGGAGCCAGATGAGACAGGCTGAGGCCTCAGCCAGGGGGAAGAGGGATTCTAGAGACACCTCGAAGGTGTAATCAACAGACTGGCTGTGGAAGAGATTTTGGGTGATGACTCTCATCATCCCGTGATTTCCAGCCTGGCTGGATGAAGCAATTCCTGGAGACTGGAAGCCATCATGCTGCGCCCAGGGGCAGTGATGGAGCAAGGTAGGTAGAGGGTAGAGTGGTCTCAGCAGAGTCCAGGAATGGCACAGC